TTATCCAAGATATTTAAAAGATATGTTTCGCTTGCGCTCTAGCACCTATTTTTTAAGAGGACATAATATACTGTTAAGAATATATGAAGGTCATATATATTCACATAATATACTGTTTGCCTAAACCATTGACCACTTCTTATGGTATCAATTCCTTTAGTTATTTGGCTACAACATAATGGAATTCTCTTCCTGACCATCACCGCACTATTTCTGATTTTACTTCTTTTCGAAGACTGTTATCTACTGGGTACAATAATTTACTTAAAAGGGCAGGAACTGCAAACCTTTCTACATCAAGATGATTTGCTAGTTAGTTGTCTAGCTAGTTAGTTATCTTATTTGTTATAGAATTAATCTTTTTATTATAATTATTTATTAATGTAGTTGCTCGAAGAGATTAACACCCAAGTGCTGCACTGTAAATTCGAGGGTAAATAAAGTTTATTGATTGATTGATTGAGTGCGGCAAGGTTTACATCGGAGAGACTGGAAGACTTATGCAAGACAGAATTAAGGAGCACGACCGAGACATTCGACTCGCCCGTACAACACCTGGCACAAGCCACTCTGGAACGAAGTAAAGTCTATTGATCGTGACCCTTATTACTACACGCACAGGGTCAAAGAGGCAATTCATATAAGACTTCACCCAAACAACATCAACAGGGATAGTGGAATAGAAATTCCAGAAGCGTGGATGCCCACGATAAAAAAAAAACAAAAACAGGAGAGCCGTGCGACAGCGGACCGCCGAGGGAGCAAATCACTGAGTGAACAGCAAGGATCGAAATGCACCAATCAGAGCTGTTGAAAAAACAACTAATCACAGCAGAGCATCATGCTTTATAAGATCACGCATGACCAGTCGACCTCATCGCCTGAAGAAGACTAGCAGTAGGCAGTCGAAACGTCGCGATCTACATCATACGTGACTACATCGTGAGACAAACGAAAAACTTAGCTTTCATTTAAGAAGCTTCTTGATGAAGTTTTTCAATAATTTCCATAAAGGAGATATAGATAAAGATTACCAGAAAAGCTTAAAAGATTTGACTTCGGTTCTAAATCTATAGTATTCATATTCATTTTATATTAATATAATATAAATTTGCTATCTCATTTTCAAACCCTTTGTTTAAAATGCTTATCATTATTTAACTGTAACGCACATGTAAAAACCTTCTTTATGTTGCTTAGTAAAACAGGTTCTCCTATTTTGGGGTATTAGAAAAGGGAATTTTTGCGAGCACTTTCACTGTATCTTAAATTGTAAATTTTCTTTATTATTTGCATATCCAATCTACCAAAGAAAATCAACATTGCTTACAGGTTGAGGTTGCTATCAGTTTATGACAAATGAAGGAATTGAACACGACAACACTGTGTGTTTCTGATTGGCATTTCGTGATGCAATATTTTTAGTGTAGAACTTCTACAAGCGGATTCAGTTGGGTGATCTTAAATAAACTTATCCCCAGAGGATCCTCAAATATTTCGCACTTTATGATTTCATAACCGATTTAAAACAGATGTTTAAGTGTCATGAAAAGCGAAGGATACGGCATCTTCGGGAAATTTTTCACATCAAACCCACTGGATCCACATTTCCTTACCGTTATACATTTTCTTGTGATGTGCGCCGACTCTGCGCGAATCATTTGCTTCGTGAACTGAATTCGGCAGTCGTTTTACCCCGCCAGCAATAAAGACGACATACTTTTTAAATAATGATAATAAGCTCAAAACACTTATTTACTGGGTCACCTAAGCAACTTAAGTGAGTATGTAGTATTTATTTATGGGATGCAAACAGACATATTGACATAGCCAAAACACAACTGAATAAAGAAGCAGTAAATTAGGAAGGGTTGTTTTATATAGCGACCACTAATTGGCCAACTCACTCTTAAGCACTGTTTTATACTTTACTGACAAGAAGATAAATATTGATGAGCGAATTACAGCGAAATTTTTCTTTCCATACTTGTGACCCAAGAATCAATTTTCGTTAGCTGCATACGATTACATAGTTTAGAAGAAAATTGGTAATCAAAAACCCCTATTACGGTTGCTGTAATTAATGTTACAAGACGGAGTAACCTTCTGTGTCAAATGCCTTTCTAAGTAAAACAATTTTATGCTACAACTTTTCTTTACCTTTTTTCAATTTCAATAACACTCCTTGTTTGAAATAATGGAATTTCAACTTACGCCACTCGTCTGCATGAATTAGTATAATGTTCAGGATAGTTGACTGTGAGTTGAAATTCCCCCGCAATACAAGTCTCGCTTTGCAAAAATGTAATTTCAGAGAATAAGCGCACTTTTCAGACAATCAATTCTTAAATCGTGCTAAAAATCTTGTAGATTCTATGTCCAACTTTAAGTACATAGCTTTCAATCAAATGCTTCGCGAATCTTCTCAACGCTCCAATTATTTCGAATGCACATGTTCACAGTTAAATTTTCCTTTTTCAAACTTCGAAAATCTCGGAAGTAAGGAGGGTTGAGACACTAAACTTACCTTCTCTCAGCAGAAGAGACCCTCTGTCAAGATTTTAAAAAGCGACCGTTAATGTTTCAATTAAGCGAGCTGAAGTTCACTGAAAGCCCGCTCGTTCTAGTCCACTGGCGATCATATAATTAGCAAAAGCGGGAGTATAACATCAAACACAGAATATATTATCGTGTGTAGCGAAGCATTAAACAAAACATGACAACACAGATCACAGTACATGTAGTCACGAACGTCTTTCACGTACCATATCTTTTAAATCCTTTCTAAGCAAACCGAAGCGATGCAAAGCGAAACGGAGGGTTACGAAGGGTAGAGACGATTGTGACCAAAATAAACCCAGCAAATGCACTCAACCTAAACAGACGCTGAACAATCGAAGCATTTGAATAAGAAATAGTCTCCGCAGTAATGAACACTACTTGAGCAGTGAAAAAAATTCAGGCCTGTACGGGATTTGAAACCATACCCCCTGCGATACCAGTGCTCTACCAACTGAGCTAACAAGTTCTGCTCAAGTAACGTTCATTACTGCGAAGATCGCTTTCTTATTCACGTCTTTATCTGCATTTCAAATATATGACTTTCATATGTTCACAGTCGTTCAATCGAAACATTGTTTGCCATTGCAAAATATACAATATGCAAAATACAACCTACCGCAAGAAACGAAAGAAGCACAAAATGCAAGTCTAATTGACAAGAGCTCTCTGAAAGAAAAAAACTTAACTTATCAAGAAGCGAAAAATACAGGCAAATATTAAAGTGAGCTTGATCCTAACACCGACATTACACTAATTGAAACGGATGAAAACTTCTTTTGGTTCACGCACTTTATTACTCGCCTTTGCTCCTCTCTGTTCTTAACAATTAATATAAAATAAGCCTTCCTTTTCCAGGACTATGTCTGTCACCGAACGATGAGTTTTGGACTGGAGGGGGCCTGGAGGGAGGGGGAAAATGGTGTAATTATCGCATCCTGCTTAAAGCCAGTGTGATACAGTCAGAATTCCCCCAACTGCCACAACGGAGACATAGAAAAGACAAAAAAAAGTGACCGTTAAGAGAGGTTTGGGTGTAAGATGATACAACACAATTTTTCAAAGGTTAAATATTTATCTTCCACAGAGTGCTGAGAGGAGAAACGTGAACAAAACAAAACTAACAAGGTGCAGCAAGAGGTTATAAACTTTTATAATCTCTTGGGTGCAGTGAGTCTGTATATTTTTTTTTCAGTATCACAGACTTTTTACTGTAGTTGTAGTAAACTGTCCAAGGCCCCGTCCACACGTATCCGGATAAATTTGAAAACGGATAAATATTTATCCGTTTTCAAATTTATCCGCGTCCACACGTTGCCGTTTGTGAATCGTTTTTGGTGTCCACACGTAAACGCAAAAACGATTTGAAAACGATGACGTCGGCTTCTGAGCATGCTCTTTAGAGCAAAACATGTGCCCGCAGTCTCGCGTATCCTGAGCCTGAATCCTCTTGGCTGTGCTCTTGGGCTTCTCAAACTTATCAACAGTGTTCGCATGGCTAGAAATCCGTGACAGCATGGCCGCCACGCACGCGCATCGATGTCGAACTCGGTCTTAGGTTACAAACGAGTCGCAAAATCACTACAAGGAAAACAGTGCACTTTCAGACTCATTAGTACCGAAACTAGAGCTTGTTTATTCGCCATGTTTTCATTAATGGTCGATCGGCCGAGAGCACGCGTTGGACTAGGTTTGAATTGTTACGTCATCGTTTTCAAATCGTTTTCAAATTTGTCCGGATAAGGCGTCCACACGGAGACGCTTAGCCAGCGTTTTCAAATTTATCCACTCTGGAGAGCGTTTTCAAATTTATTCGGTGTGTGAAAACGCCGTTTATGTGTGGACGGAACCCGTAACCGTATAAATATTTATCCGTTTTCAAATTTATCCGGATACGTGTGTACGGGGCCCAAGATAGCCTCCTCGACGGTTTTGTCACACGTTTCTTTTACACCGTCGATTACGTGGTCGGTGTAAAGAGATAATTCAGGCACTTAGGACTCACATTGGTGGCCTTTACTGGAGAAGGGGCCGTCGGTACAGGTTCAACTGCAAAACAATTGTTTTACCGGTGATTTTAACAACCTCTGTTAGTATTTTAAGCCTTAGGAATAACAAAGGTATCTGAACGAAATGGCGATGAAACCTGATGAAAACCATCGAGGCCTATAAAGTTAGGTTCTCACACAAGAAAAAGAAAAAGAAAAAGAACATTAATTTGAGACAAAATACTACTGAGCTCATATTGTGCTCACTCCTGAGAAATACTACCACCACAAAAATATTTTTCATGTCTCTGGGCGGAATTGTAATACGTTCAACGACTGGCAAAGTTTGAGTTATTTCAACAAGATACATTGTACTTATCTGTAACTGTGTTCTCCCCCAAAACCTCACGAGAGGAGACAATTTCTACAACTAAGAGAAAAAGGGAAAATTTATACATGAAAAAAAGAAATTAAACTATTCCCCGTCTGGTTTGCCCTCGGAAATCTTCCTGAATCCTTAAAATCATGTTATATTTCAACAGTATATCAGTTAAGCCAGTCAACCTGGTCAAAAGTTAGGACAAAAGGAAAAAGGGGAGAAGTAAGTTGACCCATTTAACCGTGAGAGTCATCAGCGTCTAATTTCAATCATTCAAAATAATCATTAGAATAAAGGAAATGATCGCCAAACTAAGAGGCTCTGATTGTTAACAGAATTCTCCTTGTCAGTACCAAAGGAAACGAACAGAGAAGAGTATCGAGACTATAGGTACTAAATTATGGGAGTAAAATACTTCCGTGGGAAAGTCTGGATTTATTTTTTAGCCTTAAAATTGTAAACTAATTATACACCTTTGTAGGGTAATCAACTAAAGGAAGAAGCCAACATGCACTTTTCAGGCCTTTGGTGCAGAAAAAAGGGAACTGCACACAGTTACTACTTTCCAACAACGATTCATACATCAGAGCGTCACGTTTAAGTTAAGCGATAAAGATCTTACGTGAGTTGTCATAACCTCTTGAGCCAGTTTTGTACGTTTTGACTGGCTATATGGTTTAGGGCAAGATCC